ACCTCTCCCCACTTCTTTTAGTTGGCCAAACTTTTGAAGTCTTTTTTGATTGAGGGGTTTAAAAAACATGTAGGCAGGCACACCTTTCGCAGCAAGAGTCAGAGATTGGAGACCACCAGGAGGAAAATAGCTTACCTTTCATCGCTGCCACCCTCCTCCAAGTCACGGCTGAAGGAGATGAATGCCTCTCCTACCGGCAGTTCGGGAAAATTGGGGTGCGGCTTGGATTGCCACACATATATACTGGGGGCCGGTTGCTAGAAGCTACACCCTTGCACTGGGGCGGTGCTGCCATTATGACGTTCTTTTTTTTAATCAAATTTAATGAAGTCCAATAGATTCTAAATATTACTGTGTAAGGCTAAGTCACTAAATATTTGCTGTAATTTATAAGTCATAGATGAAGATCAACTGGCACATTAAAGAAGTTAAAACACCCTCCCCATTGTCTAGGCAATACATTATAGGGACCTCTAATTCTTTATTTACTTTATCTCTTAACACTTGCAAATCAAATTGCTTTGTAACTATAGAAACTTGTATGGTTTTTTTAAAAAAAATAAAACAACTCAGAAAGCCATGTGAATGACTTTAGAACTTCTGCATTGTTATCAGGAAAAATATAGAGACACGTTTTCAAGGATGATCTGAATTTTGATCAGATTGCCAGGAATTCCCAGAGCTGTAGGCTAGATTAGGAAATTAAACCATATCCTCACAAACAGCTGCACGGTTTGTATAACATGGTTGTATAACATGGTTGTACAATTCGTATATATAACACATGGAAGCAAGTTTCACTTGATAAGATTTTTTTTTCTTTAGTTCAATTCCATCAACTTGCATCCTATCATGGTGACCAAATGGATGAATGGTTTCTATCTTTTCTTGTTCTTTGCCCGTCTGCAGCTCTTTCAAGAACATTCCAGTAATTTCTCTGGTTCAACAGACCTCCACTTTCTTCAACTTGCCAATCATTGGCATTTTTCTAATCTATCAATTGCTTGCTTGTGTGCC